GCCCTGAACTCAAGGAGACTCGCAGAATTCCTGAGCTGGGGAAGTCATTCTGGGAATGCAAAGATCGCTTTCAATGTTATGTTTGTAAGGAAATGACAGTCACCAAGTGGAGAATGTCAGGTCCTCAGAGAAACCCTGTGGGCACTCACGTGCAGAGAACTATTTACTTAACTGGAGTTGGTTCTGAAAATATTTGACTCTGGAGGGTCCCAAAGGGAGTGCGGAGGGTGGCTGGGATTTTCTCTCAGGTCAGGACTCGGCTTTTGCTAATCCCCCCAGCTGATAAAGCTCCAATCTTCAGGGCAGATTCATTCCTCTGCTGAACCAAGGTTTATGGCCCTGGCAGACGCCAGAGTGGGAACCGGTCGTTCGAAAGGTTTCCCCAGCAAAACAGAGCCTTCTTCTATCTGATGGACTGGTAGCTTGCCAGAGTGGAGCAGAGGTGCCTGGGGTGAGGCTCTGGGTGAAGATGAGGGTGGAGGAGAGGCCTGCAAATGAACGATCTGGGCATTTATCTCCAGGAAGAATCCAGCAACGTGACATTCTCGGCAGAGCTAAAGGTTGACAGAGCTGACAGAGCAGAGGAGTTTTGACAGCACTACTAGGAAAATGATGGATTTTACCAAGTAGGCTGAGTTTGGGGGTTTGTTCTTTCCATTAAGCTCGCACCCCCACTTCCCAAGTGGGATGTTCTTTCACCACTCCAGACTTTGTCCCCACTGTCTTGTAGGATGCTGGGGCATTAATGGCAGTAATGAGTCCAAAAAGCCAGGAGTACGGCCACCTGGTTCCCAGTCTGGCTTCTCCATGAGAATTGGACAGATGAGTGAATTCAGCCCTTAATTACCGAGTCCCTCCTCTGCTCTGGGCACTAAGTGTGCAATAGCACTAGGGTTGTCCTGGTCAGGATGGACCAGGTGGAGGAGAAAGACCAGAAAACAGGTAATCTCATGGGAGGACACGAGGATGATGATGATGATGATGATACGGATATTTAACAGGGGGCAGACAGGGTCTGCAGACTTCCCATGTAATGTCTTGTGCTTTTCAAGTTTAACACACATGCAAATCACTCTGGGATCCTGGTAAAATGCAGGATCTGGTTTGGGAAGTCTGGGGTGGGATCTGGGACTCTACTAACAAGCTCCAGTCAGCTGGTCCCCAGACTTCACATTAAGAAGGAAGGTATTATTTCATTCAATCTTCAGAACATACCACTGAGGCACTATAGTTATTCCCATTTTACAGACAAGGAAATGGAAGCCTGGAGAGGTCAAGTGACTTGCCCAAGGTCATAGAGCTGGGAACAGAGGAGCCAGGACCGGACTCCAGGGCCTGCGTGCTTACCCAGCTCTGCCATGGTAAGGCAGTGGGGGTGGTGCCAAGAGGGGCACAGTGCCCAGAGGAGGGGCTCAGAGAAAGCTCTGGGGGGATGTGCCTCTTGGTTGGGTGCCAGCAGGTTAAGGGTTAAGGTATTAGCCAGGTGAGAGCCGAGGAGGGTGGTGAGAGAAGCCTGAAGGGAGACAGTACCCAGCTAGGCGGCTGGGGAACCCGCAGGACGGGGCCTGGCAAAGTAAGGGCGCTCAGGCTGTTTATTCGGCAGAGCAGGAGAGGGGCAGAGACCAGGGCTCTGCAGGGCACAAAGGCTGCCCTTTTTGGCCTTACCCTGAGGGCCCGAGAAGGAAGGTTCTCTGGAAAGATCGCATAACCTGTTTACTCATCCTTCCCTGACACACTTCCTTGGGGCATCCCCTTCCTTCTCAAAGGCACTGCCCCGCCCAGCACTCACTACCTGGGCTGCAATGAGCACTTGGCACAGTGGGTCTCTGTTTACACATCTGTCTCCTGCGAGAACATTTCCTGCTTATCCACCTCTGTCCCCGGAATACCCAGCCTGGCACGTGGGGTGACAACACCTGCCCCACTTACATCATGAGGATGCTGTGAGGGGGGCATGGGTGGACATGGAGAAAGAGTCCGAAAGAACTGGATATGCCGCACCGTCCGGAAGGTGTGTGCCCGTCGAGGCTGTCTCGTGGGTTCTGGGACAGTGGGTAGTGGGATCTCCCTGCCAGGCCACCTCTTTGCCTAGTGTCCCTCAAATGCCCGCAACTCAGGCACCACTCTGACAACTCTGGCTATATTCATCCGCGGGGGCTCCCATGTACTTAAGATTTTCCTGTACACTGATTTCCTTTTTCCCCTACCTTCACTGTGACAAATTTCCAACCTGCACAGAAGTTGAGTGAAGAGCATCAAGAACACCTGTACGCGCCTCCCCTAGATCCACCAAGTGTCAACGTTGTTGCCACAATCCATCTGCTTTCTCCATTTCTCTCCCGGGCCTACATGTTAAAAAAAAAATAGCACGGGCTGATTTTTCTCTGGGTTCATTAAAAATATCTAAATAAATTTTGGGGCGCCTGGGTGGCTCAGTCAGTTAAGCATCTGCCTTCAGCTCAGGTCATGATCCCAGAGTCCTGGGATCGAGTCCCACTTTGGGCTCCCTGCTCTGCGGGGAGCCTGCTTCTCCCTCTCCCTGCCGCTCCCCATTTGTGCTCACATTCTCTCTCTCTGACAAATAAATAAATAAAATCTTAAAAAAAATATTTAAGTAAACTTTAACATTTAGCCTAGTTTTAGATTCAGGAAAAAGCCACAGAGAAAGCACAGGGAAGTCTTATGCACCCTGTACCCGGCCTCCTGTGTTACTATGGTGCATCTGTCCCGACGAATGAACCAGTGTGAATACGTTGCTGTGAACTCTACTCCACGTCCCTCCTAGGATTTTGTGCACTCTCCCCTTACCTGGTGGACTCACTATTAAACTTTAAAAGATTCAAAATAGGAAACTGTCCACGGAAAAGCATCGTCACTTGCCAAACACTGTCCTAGCTAGACGCCATTGGTTGCTGAACGACCGAGGCCTGAGGCCTGCTTTTTCTTCATTAAAAGGAGAGATTAGTAAATGTTGAAGGGGCGGTCAAGTCAGGCGGGCACAAAGCTGAGACTTCCTCACAGGAGCTTCAGCATTCTGTCGGGCCCAGTCCCTACAGCCGTCTTGGGCTCCGCCCCCGTGGGAGCCCTGTGCACGGTCTCCCTGGGCCACGCGTTCTGGAAAGCCCACGTCTGAGGCCTTGGGGCGCGCTGGAGGATGGCACCTGTCTTCTGTACCGTAGCTCCCCTTGCTCAGCTCCCGAAGCACAGCTTCACTGTGACAGGTGAAGAGTTCCATTAGTGGCACTAGAGGGGCACCGCGTGCCTGTCGTGTCCCTGAGATGCGGTCCCTCGTGTCCTCAGCGATGGGGGAGGGGACTGTCTAAACTGCTCAGTAGCGCTCTCTCCGTAAGGCCCAGACTTGTTCATATTCATCCCTGGCAAGTGTTTCAAAATGGTTTTCATGTTTTCTAAGTTAGAGTAGGTGACGTTGTTTCCTGAAACCAAGTTGGCACTTTTTAATACTCTCCTTTCTAATATATACCTGCTGTCCTCATTTTCAGGAGACCTAAGCCCCTGAGGGAGTCACTGAGACAGCTCTCCTGCTCTTGAGGAATTCACTCTGTGACAAGTCACTGCTGGCTCAGGGGTCCCACATCTAACTGGAGGTGATCACACCTGAGTGTCTGCACAATTGCTGGGTTCACTCCTCAGCACAGCTATTGAGTTCTCTGTGGACGTACTGGAGAATTCTCGGAGTTAGTCCAAGGGGGCACGTGCTAGGATGAAATTTTCTCTGCACCCAAGTGCGGAGGAGGAAGCTGCTTGGGACGCAGGTAATAGATGAATCCATTTTCACTTTTCTTTTTTTTTAAGACTTTATTTATTTGACAGACAGAGACACAGCGAGAGAGGGAACACAAGCAGGGGGAGTGGGAGAGGGAGAAGCAGGCTTCCCGCTGAGCAGGGAGCCTGATGCGGGGCTCGATTCCAGGACCCCGGGCTCATGACCCGAGCTGAATGAAGGCAGACGCTTAACCGACTGAGCCACCCAGGTGCCCCCATTTTCACTTTTCAAAATGAAACTGTTAACAGGAGCACCACCCTTAAACCATTTTGCCTCCCTTTTTCCCAGAGGTAATGACCCAGTTTGGGTCATCTTTTTCAGGCTTGACACGTGTTTCTGCAGTATCTCATTCTTTGTGTGTGTGCACAGGGCAGGGTTACACAATCAGGATTATACCAAATATATCATTTTGATCCCTTCTCACTCGATAGTATGTCTTGGAGACCCATGGTTGTTGTTACCTACCGACTCAGCTCATTCTTTCTAAACTGCTGTCTGGTAAGCCACAGCATGACCCTTCCGCATTCTGTGTAATCAGTCATTGTTTGATGGATGTTTACATTATTTTCAATTGTTTCCTATGATAAAACTTTTTTTTTTTTTAAGAGGTTCCTCTGTGTACATGCCTCCTGAGGCACATGCACAAGTTATGTTCTGGGTGGTGGCGTATATGCTCATTTCTGGTTTCCAAAGGTCTTGCCAAATTACCCGTCAGAGTGTGTGTGTTGCTCAGTGTCAGCTGCTATTCTTTGGAGCTGTTTATTCCTGGTTTCTCGTCTGCAGTGGCTGCAGGGTGGAAGGGAGCCAAGGGAGAGAGAAATTCACCTCTAGGTGTTACAGGCTGGTTGGCTCTGCAGGGCCAGGCCTCTCTGTGGTGCTGGTCAATGGGGGCTTTGTTCCCGGGGCCAGCCCTGAGCAGAATCCGAAAGCTGATGTGCCAAGGTGACAAAGGGAGCCGTTCGTGTGTTGTGCCTGGACCCCACCCCCTGACCGAGACACCGTCAAGTTTGTAGGAGTCGCACAGACAAATGTTAACAGGGGCGGCGGGGGAGTCGCGGGGAAAGCCTGAGAACATTAAGTTGTAAAAAAAAGGAACAAAGCAGTAAAAGAAGCTGACCACTAACTCTAAAGATGTAAAGGGAAAATGCCAAGCTAATCCGCACCCCAGGAGAAGTGGGAGGTGCAGAGGGGATAATGGGGGGCTCGGGGGGGGGGGCGGGGAACCAGGACCACAGGAAGAGGTGTGTGGAGGATCAGATCCAGACAGAAGGGAGGGGGAGAGGGAAGAAAGGAGGAAAAGGAGAAGGAGCAAGGAGGGGACATGAAAGTGGCAAGGTTAAGAAGAGAGGAGGAAAAGAAGGAGCGAGGAGGGGACACGAAAGTGGCAAGGTAAGAGAGGAGGCAGGGGCGGAGGAGGGAGGGCAAGGCTGTGTCCCTGTCTGTTTGTGATTAGCACACAGCCCGGGCGCAGAATGGAGTAAACAGAAACTTCCAGGCATCCCCACACCCCCTTCTGAGGCGAAGCAGAAATCAGATGCTCCGTGATTAATCGTAGAGAGTTCAGGACACGACCACAAGCGCTGTGCGGGCTTGAAATTAGCTGCCTTTTCCCATCCCCTTGCCAAGATGGGAGTGGGGGGTGGGACGTGAAGGGGTGGGGGCCCCGCCTGCTGGGGGCCATCATGGAATTCTCCCTGGCAGAGCTCAGTGACACTGACGGGCAATCGGCCGCGTCCAGAGAAGCAGGCAGCATCCGGGGAGAGCAGGCTGGCCGGGGGGGCCCCAGGCAGGCTTCCTGGAACCCCTGCTCCAACGGCCGCCTGCACCCGGACACAGGCCAGATAAGAGGCCGGCTGCACTATCAGAGCCCGGCAGCGCGCTGTCCCCCGGCCCTCGGCACCGCAAGGGAGACCGGGGGACAGTGGGCTCCTTGTGAGCAACCTCCCGAGTGGCTAGTCTGGACGGGCTTCCCAGAGTCCCAACTCGGCTCCTGCTGCGGATGGGAGCCGCGGCTCACCTCGGCGACAGAGAAAGCCAGGCTGCCTGGAGGAGGAGGTGTGCTCCCGCCTGAACGCTGGTACCTGCTCGCTGGTGAGTGAGGCCGGCGCGGGGACCAGACGCTAGAGGGAGGCGAGGTGTGAGGAGGCCAGCCCTTGTGCACACTCCACCCTGGAGCTCGCTCGGAGAGGGGAGCCGGCGAGGGGGCCGGATGGGACTGCAGGGGCTTGCTGTGTAGCCTTGGGCGAGTTCTCTCCCCTCCCTGGGCCTCCGTTTGTCCATCTCTGCAATGGAGTGGCTGGAACAGCTGCTCTTTAAGGGGCTTTTACTGTGACCGGGTTTCTTGTGTATCTGCCATATGCCAGAAGCTGTGCGAGGCATTTGTGAAGCTCTAGCTCAGGGGATCCCCATGAGCCACCGGTGGGGCCAGCATTAGCCTCCTGGTACACTGAGCAAACAGAGGCTCAGAGAAGTGAAGTGACTCGCCCAGGGTCACACAGCTGGCCGGTGGCAGAGATCAGAATCCCATCTCTGCCTTTCTGATTGATTTGCCCTAAACTGTCCACTTCCAGGAGTCTGTATTCTGTTCTGGTTCCGTGATCTCCCCAGGAAGCAGGGGTGCAGGAGGGTGTCGGGGGGAGGATTACCTGTGGGAGGCAGGCAGAGAGGTCAGAGAGAGGCGGCCACAGGCTGGGCAGCCCTCAGCTCTGGACGGGTGGGGGCACGCGTCCCGGGCAGGGGCTCCTGGCTGGAATGGAGAGGGCCCGATGCCGTGTGCTGGGCTCACCACCCTGCTGTAGGAGGCTCCTGGGGACGGGAGAAGAGAGTGAACATCAGGCAGGGGTGGGGAGAGCTGGGCGTGGGGAGAGTGGCACATGCCTCTACTAGGTTTTGTTCCAATTTTATTTTGCTTTTCCAAAAATCTGTTTCAAATCATTCTGGGCCCCCACTGCTCCTCTGGACGAAACAGAATTGTGAAACACATACAGAGCTTTGCACACGCCTCCCCCGGGGGGAATCAGGCATTAATACTATCAGAGGCTATTTGCATATACAGCCCCACAGCTGCGGCCGCATCAGAGATAAGCTGCAGATCGAGTCCATGAGTGTCTCCCCGGCACAGAGGAGGAGGATGCACGTTACATCTGAGGGCCCAGGAAAAACACAGCAGGGCTGAGGCAGGTGGGAAATCCCTCAGTGCCAGGCATCGGGGCAGAATTGGAGATCCCGGCACCCAGATGTGGCCTCCTCTTTTCTCTCCTCTTGGAAAATTCCACCCTGCAGCAGCTCTGTACTGACTCAGGCCTCCCTTCCTTTTGGGGATTGGCTCAGGCCCTCTGCCTTGGGCTTGAGTCAAGACCTGAGTGGGGGTCCTGGCACCACCCAGTCCCGGGCACACCGGGACAACTGATCATCCTACCCACTTCTGCCCTTGATTTTTCTTGTAACCTTGACCAAGTCACCTCCCATCTCTGGGTCTCTGTTTCCTCACCTATAAAATGAAGGGATTATTTTAGGAAATCTCTAAAATCTCTTTGCAACTTCTAAAATTCTGAGAGCCTGCTTGGAGGGCACTTAAGTTCTCAATAAGCTTAGAGAAGACAAAGATCTCCCAAGAGCCCTGCCACCAGGGAAGGCGCCAGAGGAGGTGGGCATGAAGGTGGGCTTGAAGAAGGGACTGAGGGCCTTGTTCCTGACATCAGCGATCCCAGGCCTTTGGCCCTGCGAGCTTCTGAGGAGCCGAATGGACTGCTTTCGTGGGGAGTGATTTAACCCAGATGCGCGCTGGCTAGGAAGCCCTTACATACTCTGCATCAGAAGCTCAGAACCCCCCTCCCAGGGCCCCCCAGTTCTTTCTGGGGAGCAGTGAAGGGGTATCTCACATGTGCCCACCAACTGGGCTCCTGCCCTGCTCGTCCTCTCCTGCCTCCTCCTGCCTCTGCCCACCGGAGACTCTCATAGCACCCCCACCCCCCACCCTCTGTGTCCCCGAGCTGCTCTGGGTTCTGGGCAGAGATGGAGGGACTAGCTTCCTCCCCAACCCATGACACTCTTTGCCACATGGTCCCTACACTGTGGTGTGCTGGAGCCAGCTTGTCCCGGCTCTTGAAAGCCAATGGTCAGACTGTCAGAAGTGTGGGGAAAGAATTGCTTAACAGAGCCGTTCTTAAAAATTAAATTTCACAGACTTGTAATTCAATCAATGGTGTTACAAAGGTAATGAGTACTCACTGCTCATCCCTTTCCATGTCTGAAAGGACATTTTGCTGCTCTGGATGCTCCCGAGGTGACTTTCATCCGTGCTGGCTGGTGGAAGCACATTTGATAGTCCGCTGTTGCGCATCTCTCCCCAAGTCCACGCGTGGTGACCCCAGGTTGGTGGCCTGGGCAATCGGCTGCAGTGGGAGTCCTTAAACCACGGGAACTGGTAACAGGATGACTCAGGGCTCGATTTATTGTTTTGCTGCCTGACTAGACTTGAGGGAGGAGACAGGAAAAGTTAACGACGCAGATTAAGCATAGAAGCGTGTCCCCTCTGTGGCTGTTCCGTTGTGAATAGCCCCAGAATGAAGGCACTTGCTCACTTCATTGACAAACTACACTTTGTTGTATCACTTTTGTCTGACTCCTTAAGGTAAAGGAAAATAACCACCAGCCTTGAGCGGCCCTCACTCAACACCGTAAGCGTAGGCTGACTACAGATACAAGGGTTGGGGGCAAAAATCAACAGACCCCTTCCGTGTGACTCAGTTGAGTGTATATGAAACTTACAAGGGGTATTGTAAATTTTATTTTTGTCTGTAAACTGTGTGCTGCCCATTCTTTACACCAGTACAATCTATAATAAACCTAGCTGTGCGTCTATGTGCATATATTCCTATGTACACGTGTGTGCACGCACACGCAAACGTGCACACGGACACACATGCTCTCTCTCCTGGAGTGCTGACTGCTAACCTTTACCAGCTCCCCACCGGCCCCACGGCACGTACGCTTGTGCCCAGGGTCTCAGAAATCCTGGCATGGACCATCCTTAGCCCTCACCCAAAGGGAGTCAAACTCCAGGCACTGAGCCTGGACACAAACATATCCGCTTCCTCCTCTTGCCTAAAACATACCAACAGCTCAACTCCTCACTCCTGTTCTGAGCGGTGGAAAGGATGCAGAGACTAGGCTGGGTAGGAGGTGTCATCTACACAGGCCGCATCTGGGCCCCCATGCAGACTGTGGTGGCCCTGGGCTCCTCACTGCCTTCCCAGGCTCTGTGTGCAGGGGCATTTCTGGTGACCCATCATTAGCAGCTCCCTGTTAATTCCATCTGCTTAAGGTCTTGCTCCCGTTGTAGTTTATTTTCATGTGCAGAGCACGACTAATAGAAACGGCATTTTGGAACAAGGAGAAGTAACAGCTAAGCCAAACCTATAGGAAAGTTAAGACAACTTTCTATTTTTAGAAACCCTGGGAGCCAGGTGGGCCCTTTCCAGATTCTCCCAAGCCAGTGAATGACCGAGGAAAGTATTTCTCATTCCTGAGTTCCGTCTCTTACAGTTGAGGCCAAGGAGGAGGCCCAGGTGGGGACACCGGCTCAGAGCAGCACGGCTATGATGGAGAATGGAGCCATGCTCACAGCACTTTTAAAAATAATTACAAATGGGTTTTATAATTATTTCAATTTGTGTGCGGAAGGGTGATCCTGAGTTTCGATCTCAGCGGCTCCCACCCCAGACAACCACTGTTTAGAGTCAGGTATCTATTCTTCCAGACCATTCATTCACTCTTTTTTGCATCTTTCTTTTCTTATAATTTTAGTTTTCAAAAATGGGCTCATTCTGTACATTCTAGTTTGCATCTTCCTATCTCCACTTGACAATATATCCTGAGTGTTCATCCACATTAGCTCATGGAGACCTACAACATTCCTTTCAATGCCTGCATATCAGAAGCCCCAGGAGGTTGGAAGAAGGGATCTATTTTGATAACCATATCTCTACTTTCTAACCAGGTCTCAAACTTTCTTGACCCCAAGATACACAAGTAGAACCAAGCTGCTTCCACTTATCAGTAAAAAGAAATTCTACTGGCTTTCCCTTCAACCTGTAACTGGAAACTGACCACTTCCTGTCCCATCCCCTGCCCTCACCCTGGTCCCTGGTCCAGGAGGCCGTTTCTCTGAGTTGTTATAGTTGTCTCCTCATTGGGGTCTGCTTCCCTTGCCTCTCTAATGGTGTGTTCTCTATCTGCAGCCAGCAGGGTCCTATTAAAATGAAATGAGATCCTGTCCCTCCTCTGCTCAGAACACCCTCCTGCCCCTCCAGTCTTGGGCCCACCTCACCTAGAGTAAAAGGCCAAGTCCTCACCATGCCCACAAGGCCCTGTAGGATCTGGACGTCATCTCCCACTTGCTTCTCAATTGTGCCAGGCACAGTCCTGCCTCAAGACCTTTGCACTTGCTTTCCCCTCTGCCTGGAACACTCCTTCTCCAAATCTCCACATGGTTCATTTCTTCCCATTTACCATCATCTAGCATACTATATATTTTTCTTTTCTTAAATATCCCCTACTGGAATGTGAGTTTCCTGAGGGTACAGATATACATATACATATACATATATATATATATATATATTTTTTTTTTTTTTTTTTTTTTTTTTTTTTGCCTGTTTCGCTCAGTGTTATATTGCATAGTAGGCACTCAATAAACTTGTAGAACTACCTGGCTTACTATGTTGCCAAGAGTGACAAGGCAGTCCAACCTTCTGGGAGAACCATGCATTAGGGTCACCAGGAATCTCTAACCACGTACTACATTTCATTTATGAATAGCACACCTCCATACCCTTGCCAACTCACGCAGGGGCCGTTCATCTGTGTAACGAGAGGCAGTGGAACCGTACACCACCAGGTGCTCTGTCAAACCAGCCCAGGCCCAGATTCTGGACTCCTCACGTGGCTTTGCGCTCACCCCTCTTGTCTGTCTCAGGTGGGCTTAGCGGGCCGGTAAACAACACCATCTCCCACGCTGGAGTTCAGATACACTGTGAGTCAGGCAGGTTATGGGATCTGTTGTGGGATTCTGCTGTGGCCAGGTGGCTGTTACTATGCTGTCCCTTGAACTGGATCCGCCACGCCTGCTCCACCATGCTCCTCTGAGGAGCATGCCTAACCCTGCCTTCCAAATGAGTGAGGGAAGACCCTGCAGATGCAAGCATGTGGAGGAGGGCAGACATGTGCCCTGCAAATGCACCACTGGATGCCCTCCCACCCCACTCCACCAGGGACCGGACAGTCCTATGCCCCATTAATAGCAGAGGGAATGGCCGAAGGCCTTGCTCACTTGCCCAGCAGTCCCTGTTAGATCCCTGGTCCCCAAATCCTGGTCCAGAGAGCTTTCCTCAAGACTTATAAAATAGACCTCAAGTAGAAGTGAATTAATCATAACCTCCTCAGGACACACTGAAAGAGACTCCTGAACAGCCCCATTCAACCTTCCATCTAGCAGTCTCACCACATTTATTTATAAAATAAAAATCCCCATAGAGCCACCCCCCAGCCTGGGAACTAGAACTTTGACAACTATCTATCCCTACTTACATGCTCCTTCCCACCACAGTAGCTACGATCTTGAATTTTGTGTTTATCTTTCTATGGCTTTTTATTTATTTTTAGGGGTTTTTTTTGTTGTTTTTTAGAGAGAGAGAGAGCATGCATGCATGTGGGAGAAGGGCAGAGGGAGAGGGAGAGAGAGAGAATCCCAAGCAGACTCCCCGCTGAGCACGGAGCCCAACGCAGGGCTCGATCTCACCACCCTGAGATCATGACCTGAGCCAAAATCAAGAGTTGGGACTTAACTGACGGAGCCACCCGGGCACCCCTTTCTATGGCTCTTTAAAAAAACTGTGGTAAAAGATACATAAAACTTACCATTTTACCCAGTTTCAAGTATACAATTCGGTGGCATCAAGTACATTCTCGATGTTGTACAACTGTCCTCACCATCCACTTGCAGAACTTTTTCATCATCCTGACTTCCCTTGTTTTTTTAAAAAAATATTTATGCCCAAACAATAGATTACTGACTTTTATTTATTTTTGAACTTTATAAAAAGATCTACGTTGTCTTGTGCCGCTTCTGTTTCCATAAAGCATTTATCACTGAAATTCATCCCCGTGGTTGCACACGGCTCCTCGCTTCCTCATCTTCCATGGCTATACGCTATCGCGGGGCGAACCACGACGTGTTTCCCACGTCTAGAGGCGGCCGGGTTGTCTCCCTCCTGTGCGCTTGCTATCATTAAGTGGTACTGCTCTGAGCACCCTTGCACCTCCAATCCCATTCTGGGGTGCGTCTCCCGTGTCCACCCAGAAGCAGGACTGCAGGTTTTGGGCATATGAAATCTCGTCCCAAACTATTTTCCACTGTGGCTCTGCCAATTCACATGCGCCCTCGACCATGTGGCATCTGCCTGATGGCTTGCTTTCCGCCACTTGAATGAGTGGAATTTCCCCTGGATCTCCACCGCCACCACCGTGGACAGGCCTGGCTGCCACTCACTGTGTATCTCTAGGTCTAAGTATAGCCAAAGCCTTGAGTGGGCCGCGGGTTCGTGATGTCTCCCATCTTTGTGGCAGAGCGAAGAGGGGAACCGAGCCCGACCGCCACATTACAGGAAGGAACATGTGCAGAGGGAATTCGAGACCTTGCCCTCGTTGCACTAATAGCTTCCTCCTCCCCTCCCCCTGCCTTTACTTAGTCTGGTTCTCGCCATGTGTGGGACACAGAGTGACGGGGGCGGGGGGGGAGGTGGGAAGGGACAAATTCTCACTCACGACAGGTACTATTGCTCACACTCTACGTGTATTGCTGTTGATCCATTCAACCCTCAGATCACAAACAGAGGTGCTCTTATAGGCCCCACTTCGCAGATATGGAAACTGAGGAGCAGAGAAGTAACTTTTTTAAAAAAAATATTTTATTTATTTGAGAGAGAGGGAGAGAGGAGGGGCAGAGGGAGAGGGAGAAAGAATCTGAAGCAGATTTCACACTGAGCGCACCGCCGAACATGGGGCTCGATCCCATAACCGCAAGATCACAACCTGAGCCGAAACCAAGAGGCGGACGCTTAACCGACGGAGCCACCCAGGTGCCATGAGAGGTTAAGTAACTTGCCTGAAATCCCACAGGTAGTAAATGGCAGAGACGGGGTTGAATCGGTTTGTCCAGCTCCCTCCAGAGGCTATGCCCCTCTTCGTAGAGCCTAGGAGTTAAATGTCACAAAGTCTTCAATCCTACAGACCTTGGTTTATATCCTGGATCCCTGACTACCAGGCTGTGTGACTCTGGGCAGGTTACTTCAACCTCTCTGCACCTCTAAAATCTCAAGAGCTCTCCTTCCTAGAAGCTTCATTAGATATTCTTTTTTTGTGCCTTCTTATTTCTTGTTGGGTTGTAGGCCTCTTCCTCAGATTTCCCTGGAAT